TGGCAAACAATACATGAAAATTTATTTGTAAATTGAAACAACCAAAAAATTACCAATTAATATTATACCTAGACAAAGCGAAAAGTGAATCAAAAATGAAATGATTTAAAAAATATTTTGTTCAAAATGGGCGCCTCCGGACTGTAGACAAGCACGACATCTTCTAATTATGGAGGTAGTGGCCGATCGACACTGAATTGGAGTTAATTCTCGACACGCTTGGACTATTCGCTGTCTTAGATCTTCTAGGGTATCAACTGGCACCTCGTAGACTTTTTGTTTAACAGCACCCCAAACGAAATAATCCATCGGTGTCAAGTCCGGTGAACGTGCGGGCCACGCTGCAGGTCCTCCACGACCAATCCATCTCCTGGGATAATTAATGTTTAACCACTCCCTAGGACCTCTACCAAAATGGGCAGGACAACCATCTAGTTGAAACCAACTGTTCATTCGAGTATTAAGCGGAACATCTTCTAACAGATCTTGAAAACCATTTTCAAGGAACTCGGTAAACATGTCAGCATTTAACCGATGCGGAAGGAAGTAGGGACCAACTATAGTGTTGTCCAACACACCCAACCATACGTTACATTGGAATTCATGCTGAAAACTATGTTCCCTTACCGCCCGTGGATTCTCGTAGGACCAAATATGGTTGTTCCTTTGGTTTAAAATTCCCCTTCGAGTAAATGTTGCCTCATCTGTCCACATTACTTTTTGCGTAAACTGATCATCATTCTCTGCTTGGTTTAACATCCAGTCACAAAACACGCGCCTGCATCGTATGTCCTGAGGCAATAAATGTTGCACACGCTGGATATGGTACGCATGGCGTCCATCAGCCCGAAGAGTCCTCCAAATGGAACTTGACGAAATACCTAGCTCATAGCTAGATCTTCTGACACTCGTGGATGGATTTTCATCGAAATGGTTTAAAATAGTATTCGATCTTACTTCGTCCTGAAGTGGGGCAAAATGTCCATCAGCATAAGTTGGAATACCGAAAGACCCAGTTTGTCTGAGACGACTGAATGTCGTTGAAAATGTTTCCTTTGCTGGTAGTCTGCGATGAGGAAATCTTACTGCATATTCACGGCGAGCCGCCGTGGCATTTCCATCACAAAAACCATATACAAAGACCATATCAGCATATTCATTGTTCGAAAATATGGACGGCATTATTAAACTTATTTTTATTATTAGTTTGAACGCTTTATCTAATGGATAATTTATGCAACAATTCGCAAAATAACATTTAAAACGTCAAATTAACATTGCTTGACAGCAGCCTACTCGAAAATTTTTGTTGAGGTTCATTTTAAAGTTTATCGACAGAATCCAGAAGCACCCTTCCGAAAAATCAATTTTGCCATGAAACTATAAGAGTTAGGAAAAAAGTGAATGTACACTTTTTGTCAATAACAAACTGTTCTATCTAAAAACAGCATCATTTTTTATTTTCAGTAGGGCCGTATTAATTTTTTTTATAATTTAATGAGTCTGAGTCCCCATAACTCCGCCACTGGTTGCTTGCGGGACTTCTACTTCTATGGAAAAATGGTATCTTATAAGAAGATGTGTCATGCCAAATTTGGCTTAAATAGCCTTCTTCATTTAGAAGTTATTTAAAAAATTCGAATTTTTTTAAAAATCTTTAACGCCCTATATTTCGAAAATGAAGCGTCTCTGGAAAAAAATTATACTTGATTTTGTTCTTATTTTTTATGAGGAATATCTCCTTAAAGTTTGTCGACTTAATCCTGAAACATTCTGTATATTATGTACCAGGAATGGGAAATAATAGATTTGATTAAAAATTGACAGTTTTGAAATTAAAAAAAACAAGGTCTAATTTGAAACTTGTTAGTTCAATCGTTTTGTTTTATAATCTTGAAGTGCATCAGCCTGGGTCAAACATTTGTTGTTAAATAATACTATTACATTTATTTACATAGTTTATCGAATTTGGATAGAATGTGTTAAATTCACTAAAACGTTTTCTCAATAAAATATGTTTATGAATTCGAATTTTTATTTTTATTTTTTTTTTGTTAGTACCTGTCTTTTAGTTTACCTATTTCAGTAAAAGTTATTTAGATGTGTATATAACTTTTACAGTATCAGTTTGAATAGGTGTAAAATTCTACTAAAATATTTGTTATAGGTTACATGTCGACGCATTACTACGAAAACATGCTATCTCAAATTAAGCTTGGAAAACATGCTAGCTCAGATATTTAAGGAAAAACATTGCTATCTCACACAAAATTAAATTGACTAGAAATTTAAGTTGGCTGCATTGACGTTCAAATGCACATTGAATGATTGAAACCGTGCACTTATGATAAACTTATATAATATTTTTTTCAAAAAATAAGGAATATTTATGTTCAGGTACAGGGTGATTCACTATATTTTTACCCTCCCTTTAACTTTTTTGTTTTAAGAGTTATAAAAAAATGTGAATTATAAAAGTTGCACGAATTTTTATGAATTTTTCGAAAATGATAGTAGAAAAACAAATGAAGTCCAAACAAAATGGCCGCGGATGTTAACTTTGTTAAGTTAAATGGAACACCCTATATATTTTTACATATTTGGATAGAACGTTCTCTGTTGAGCATAGTCATGTAGGGTTTGTTGGGTCCATCTCTAACAATAAGCGAGATACTATTAAAAAACGAAAATAAGGTTTTTTATAAAGAAAATAAGACATCTTATAATTGTTAAACTTTTTCATGCATTTCTGCCTTTTTACAATTACGTAAGGATTTACAGATTTAGTTATAATATATTTTGATAGATCGGACATTGATATGGTCCAAAACGCATATAGGTATTGTAACTAAATCTCACTAATTACGCCGTGAGATACCTAATTACCCGTGGACAATGTTATATGGTAGGCCGTGATAGTGACAGGTAATGTCAAGACAACATTGTTATTGTTTGACAGTTTGTATTATTATTTAATTAAAATGGATTACACAGAAGTAGAAAATTGAAATATTATAGGAATTAAAATAGAGTAAAGTTCTTCTCTATACTCTATTTTAATTTTAAATAATTTTCTACTTCTGTGTAACCTATTTTAATTAAATAATAATACATTAATAACAATGTTGTCAAGACATTACTACCTGTCACTATCGCGACCTACCATATAATGTCCATGAGTAATTAGACCTCTCACGGCCTAATTAGTGGGATTTCGTTATATTACCTATACGCATTTTGGACCGTATCAATGTCCAATCTGTCAAAATATATTATAACTAAATCTGTAAATCCTTATGTAATTGGAAAAAAGGCAGAAATGCCTGAAAGAGGTCTAACAATTACAAGATGTATTATTTTCTTAATAAAAAACCTTCTTCTCGTTTTTTAAAAGTATCTTGCTTATTGTTAGAGATGGACCCAACAAACCCTATATGTCTATGCTCTACAGGGAATGTTCAATCCAAATATGTAAAAACATACAGGGTGTTCCATTAAACTTAACAAAGTTAACATCCACGGCCATTTTGTTTGGACTTTATTTGTTTTTATAGTATCCTTTTCGAAAAATTCATAAAAAATCGTGCAACTTTTATGTTTAACATTTTTTTATAACTCTTAAAACAAAAAAGTTAAAGGGGGCTCAAAATATAGTGAATCACCCTGTACACCGTTTATTTTATTTTTTCATTCAACATTTTTCAATTAATTTTGTTAAGTTATAAACGACAAAATTGTTAATAAGAAAAATAGAATAATATGTCTATTAACTCGTTTTGAATTGTCTGTATGAACCTAATCTGATTTTACTGTTAGGAATTTTACAATAATAAAACGAAAATTATTTTCAGTTAATATAATATTTTTATTATAAAACGGATTCACTTAAAGAGGTAAATTGTTATTACATACCAGCCATAAAAGCAATAATACATCTCGATTAATGTTTGGTTAAACAAATAGTTAAATTGTTACCTATACTTACGTGTCTGTAACGTATAATATAGATTATGGCAATCTATTCGTCAGTTAACCAATTCCTTTAATTGGGACCTAAAATATTGTCTCTAAAACAGATCTGTCTAGAAACCTCTGTGGCAGCTTATAGTTTATGGTTTTAATACAATATTTAAATTAAAATTTAAAGAATATAATCTGAGTAAAAAGTTACTCAATAATAGTTAAATTTAGAGAAAAAGTCTTAACCCTTAATTGGTTTTACACACTCAAAATAGAGTCAAAAGTCACTCACTTGATAGTTAGCAGAAACTCGGATCTGAATAAAACTCACTCACTTGTGTTGTAATAGTTTCACTCATAAAATTTTAGTGCTCATGCTCATACTAATAAAGTGAATACTTCACTCAAGCGTATGTGGACAGATATTGATACATTTTTCAGTAAAATTAAGTGAAATTGATTGAATTTTTTACAGTGTATATTTGATTTTATTCGAATAACAAGCCATTTTGAAGTTCTGATTTTATTATTTTAGAATAAGCAAGTTCTATAAAAATAGTTTACGGATTTTTTTTTGTTGGAAATACACTTTTAAATATAATGTAATCTAGGAGTACGTAAAGTCCTAGCTACATCTTTAAAAAACTACTTAAATGACGTTTGATACATTATATTGTATTTAAAATCGTTTCCAACATAAAAATTCCCCAAGTGTTCCTGTAAAACAAACAGCTAAAATTATTTTCGATTTACTTCACTATGTGGTAAGCTTATTTTAAAATAAAAAAAATCAAAATTTTAAAACAGCTTGTTTCTCGAAGGCCCTTTTCTTAGAAATGCAATTGGCTATTTTCAACTCACTGTATTTATACCTCGAAGACGGAATGAACAATACACATTCATATAACATTTATAGCTTAACAAAATTTGTCCTGGCACCTGTTAAAATTTCTTTCATATTTCTAAAAATAATAATTAAATGTACTAATTCTTAAATAAATTAAATCTTAAAAAAAATTAAGTTTTAAAATATTTTTCAGCATCGTCCCTATTATCAGCAATGGACCACACGGCAGATCCATGCGTAGATTTTTTTCAATACGCCTGTGGCACTTGGAATAAAAAACACGTTATCCCAGAAGATCGAAGTTCGATCAGCACTTTTGAGGTCATGGCTGACCAGTTACAAGTTATTCTTAAAGGTAAGTAGAAGTTTTCTCTCCCAGGGGGTTTAACGATCTGAAATCCAATGAATCAGGTTTAAACAATACTTAAATTTATAAAAAAAATATTTCAATTTTGCTCTTAACGTCATACATTATGAGAACATTTATCAAACAAAAATTACAAAAAGTATTTTTAATTTTCGTTGCGCTTTTTTGCTGAATAGCTACTATTTTTCCTAATTTTCAACCTAAACTTTTTTTTCCTAATTTTGAACTTAAAAATTTGGAACTACTTATTAGAATCAATTTTAATTTTGTAAGAGAATTTTTTTTATCACTGAAGTTACACTGGGTGTTTCCGAAATACCGTTACAAACTTTGGATGGGTCTGCTCAATCAAGATTTGGTAGGGTTTCTACTACTCTCCTTTGTAGGAAAAGATATATTAGTTACTTTTATTGTTTCTAATAATCAACATTTCTGTTATTCACTACTGCGCATTCTTGAACAAGTAGTATTAAAAGTCATAAGAAAGGAATACATAATTTTTTAATATAGTTAAATGTTTTGCTAAAAAATGAAATTTTCTTAACTATTTTGTTTTTGGAAAATTAATCATTATCTGAAAAGTACTATAATACATGATAATTATTACACCTTTACCATGTGCAGGGTGATTCTTCAATATTATGAAAAAATATAAGCGAAAATTTCTTGTAAAAAAAAAGAATAAAATTCTATAAATATGTTTCTGTAAATGCCTTGTATCCTATGTACAGGGCTCAGAAATTTCAATAATAAATTTATATTTGATACTAGGACTAATTAAATTAAAGGGAAAATTTGCCTGAATATGAATACAATTACATGAACCAGTGCCGGAGGCATTATTACTTACTCCAAAATTTCAATGACACTGACAAGGATGATTATTGAATTACAAAAAAAAAGGAGACACATACATTTTCTATTCTGCCGACAAATATTTCAAAGGGGTAAAAAGCACCACTAAAGTTTATCCCCAAAAACAAATTTTTCAAGAAATCTCTCTGTTTCTGTACATTTATTTTTTAAGTGACTAACATTTCGATAACCTTCCTTGTGAATATGGAATTTCTAAGAAAAACATATGTTCCATTTTAATCGAAAAATCGACCATTATTGAGAAAAAAAACTGAATTAGATAGCCATTGGTGTACCTACGCACAAAGAACTTAAACAAAATAATAATTTGTTTGTTACTTCTCCCTATATTAAGAAATATATAATAAATATACATATAATAAAGACACGTACGAAATAAGATGTGTTTAGCTAAAAAATAATATAAGAATAAATTTAAATACAGAATAAATAATCCTAGAGCTTGGACACAGGTGTTAGGTATATCATGAGGACACATTTCATCACCGCATAACAAATCAGATACTCTCACCACATTGACGCTCTCTGAAAAATATATGGCCTAAAAATAACTTCGCTTTCTGAAATATACAGAGTGATTCATTAACAATGGGAAAATCGAAAGCTGAAGATACTACACGTGAAGTGGTGACCATTGGCGCAAACATGCCTTATCCGAAAGTTGATAGTTTCGGAAATACAGGGTGTTGAAAGTTAAAATTTTAAATCGTTTTTTTGCGATTATTCTGAAAATATGTAGGTTAGGAACTTGAAAATTTGTGAAACTATATTTTTTAGGGCGACGAATAAGATGCGTGTTGTAATTTCAACATTGCTCATAGAGGGCCCCATTTACGACCAATTTTACTGAAAATTTAGTTAATAACTTTTTACCCTGTATGTCTAACATGAAACTTGATTCAAAACCTGAAAGAGCAATCATTTTTCCATTAATTGTGTATTCTTGTTTCATTTCGGTTACAAAAATGCCCCCGAACGACTAAGGAGGAACGACTGAGTATCTGTGCCAAGTCGCACGCTGTTTCGAGGCTCGCGGAGATGTATTTAAATTTTCTGAAATCGAATCTGCGAATTATGGAATTTAATTTATATTTCCTGAAATATCTAATCTGAAATACAAATAACGAATTAAATTTACTAAGATGAAACTGAAACGATATTAAATTGGCCGTTTCTTAAATAGGAATATGTGGAAGAGTTGTAATCAGGGCCGAATTAATCACGGGGCCCAATGGAGCCGAGGCCCAGGGTCGCCAAACCCTCGGAGGTCGCTTTAAAATGTATGAAATCCCGCATTTTAAATGGATTCCCCTTTTATTTCATTTCACTTTTTTATCATTTGAGAAACAAATGCGGGGCACTGCATCTAAATAAATTAAAATTCTACGCCAATGATTTTTTTTGGACCTTTGAATGTCTACACGGAATTTAAAATTGTATATTATATTTAACATAAAATGCTTCTACATATTTAACTTTAATTTAAATTTAAAAATAATAATATATCGAAAATTGATCGCTTTTCTAATGAAATTTGATACCTTTTTTCTTAGAATTAAATTAAATAACCTATTCAATTTCCAAAATACGCATTATGTTTTATTTTTCATGGCATCTTCGTCAGAGGTTGACAGATGTATGTAAAAATTCTGTGAACTATTGCCTTTTGCCAATATGATATATATTTTTTAATACCCTGTATCTCGAAACATTGGCTCGACTTTTAGTTAATAGACCTGACTTTTTTAATAATTTTCATACTAATTAATATTTTCAAAGTTATAGATGATTCTGGTAAAATTGTATAGGTACGTACCTCGTTAGGGGTCATCCATTAATCACGTGAGGGCAAAATAGGGGAGGGGGGGCTTTGGATAACTAACATCACTATTACTCACAATGGGGGAGGAGGGGTTGTTGTTACATATCACATGTATATTTTTGCGCAACTATGCCCGAGAAAGCCTTGCTGTGATCTGCGATATGACATCACGATAAGTAACGCGCAATTGACGTGGTCGATCTTTGTAAGATCGTCCGTCGCCCCGCCCGCGCTGGCTGACAACCGCCGCTGTTTTTTTTTACTGATTTTCATAAAAAAAAATATTCTGAAAATATAGAAGTTTTAAAAAATATATATACGTGATGTTAAATAGGGGGGAGGGGCGTAGCTTACAACCTCACCACGTATCACCAGGGGGGAGGGAGGGTGTAAAAAAGTGGCCTAAAAACCTCACGTGATTAATGGACGACCCCTTACTTGTAACCTTCTTTTCTATTCTGGAATGGATAACTTCGATGACTTTTAATATGAATATATGCACTTTTTTGTAAATACTTTCTGCCTCAGAAGTTTGTAACATCATTTCCATAACACTCTATATAAATTGGTTGTATGATTTCCTGGCTGGTTACCTCGTCGTCGATGTACAACTCTTGACGTTTAGAGTTGTAAATCGACGACGTGGCAACCAGCCCGGAAATCATTCAACCATTAACGACAGCCACGGAAGCCTATAAACACTCTATATAAATTGTTTTACATTTTCTCTGCATTGGACTCCATTTCAATTTTATATACATAAACACCATAATAAATGAAATAATAGAGCGTGAAAAACGCTCAAAAAATATTATTTTGTATAATCTAAAGGATAGTGAGGGCCATAGATCGGAAGAAGAATTGGCGATCTTGAAGACTACTTTGAAATTGATAAAACTAAATGTAAATCCCGAGGAGTTAAATGCGCGTAGAGTTGGAAAATACAGGAAAAACTATTGAAGACCACTTAAGTTGTTTCTGTCCAGTCGTGAGGAAGCTTTAAAAGTATCGCTAACAACTGAAATCGTTTTTTTTGGATAGTCGGTTAACCGGTTTCGGATAATTCGGATTTTTACGAAATTCGAAAACCGGTTATTCGGTTATTCGATTCTTCAAATATCCGATTATTCAAATAACCGATTACTCGATAATCTACTTCCTTTTTTTTTCTTGGAGATCGATTTCTTCGTAAACAAATTTGACTTCCAGATTTTTGCAGACCTTTTTTTTTAAACATCAATTTCTCCCAGTCTGTCTTTGTAAAGCACCGATTTTCAGATATCCGGTTTTGGTGATTCAAGTAACGGGTTATTCGAACCGGTTTTAGCAACTATTCGACTAACCAGTTTTATCTGAAATCAGTTTTTACGGAACCCGGTTAACCGGTTTCACTTTTTTCCGGTTTTTGCCAGCACTATTTAAAAGCTATCAGAGATAAAACTAACCTAAAATCGCTGAAAAATAAGGTATTTGTCTCCCTAGATCTCATGTTAATGCAGAGAATATTTAAAAAAAATTAAAGGTGAATTAAACTCAAAACTGGAGCAGGGTGAATCCAGTCTGTATATAAAGTATGTGAACAATACTCCAGTGATTGCAGTTAAAGAAGAGATTGCCACATAGTCGGATTAGGTAACTATGTAACTTTATAATGTTTTATATACAGCGTGTCCCACTAGTGCGGGAAAGTCCAATATCGACGTTAAAATGAGGAATATATGGATTTTTCTTTTTACTGTGTTGCCACATTTCTCGGAATGTACAAATTAAAAATATATTCAACTATACAGGGTGTTCCACTTTTCCTGGACAGACACCAACTTTGGTTTTTTAAATGGAAACACACATTTTTTATATTTTTTTCGGATTCTACATCAAAAATAAAGGGTACTTTGTGTAGAATAGTTCTATTCAAATATTCACAGTTTTTGAGATATCTCGCTTGAAAGGTTTTTCTAGTCGATATTGGTTGCTTACATTTTCTGATACTGACAGGTTATACTAATAGCTACTAAGCCCATTTTTTTATCAGATGTTTAGTAAGGATGACTCTTCCGAATCATGCTCCAAAAACTGGCCTGCGTTATACAGGGTGACCAAAATATCATGTCAAAATTGCCAATTGAAAAATTGAAAAATCTCGATTTTTTTAAATGCAACGCCCTGTATATTTTCATACCATGAGATGCAGAATTAAATTCTCTACAACTTTGCTATACCTGCTCCTATACCAAAATTCATTAGTTTTTCATGAAATCTCATTTCTATGAAAAAATGCGAAGTTTACAAATAGCTTATATGTAAAATAACGTAGTAGGCTCCTGTCAAAGGATAATCTGGAAAATTTTCGATTCACATAAGGTTTAATAGAAAAGCGACAGTAATAATTGTGAAATGAATTACTCTAAAGAAGAATTAGTAAATAAATAATAGAATAATTAGTAAAACTCATGGTAACTGTTTATTGGCAAGTCGTATTTACCAAGCTAATAATCCAGATTTACAAAGATATCCTCGTACAAAGTGTTTTGTAAAACTGAAGGAGAGGTTTGAAAGAACAACAAATGCAAATTATGAGAAGACAACAAGAACACACGCATGCAGTATCCAAAACAGTAAATTAACATCGTGCATTTCTAACAAAAGTAATAAAGACCTAGTTAAATTAGTAATTAACAGGTAACCGCTCAAAATGTCTGCCATTTTTCTCTAGACATTGAGCAATTCTACGACGAAAATTGCTTGACACATTTCGCAGCATTTCCGGAGTTAGGGTCAAAAAAGCATTTCTTATCTTAGCCCGTAAATCTTCTACATCTGCCTGAAGAGTTTCATATACCCTGTCTTTTATATAGCCCCATAAAAAAAAATCAAAACAAGACAGGTCTGGGGATCGGGGAGCCCATGGAATTGGCTACCTATCCACCTATCTGGATACAAATCATTTAAGTATTCTCTAACCTGAAACAATTTTTCTATGAATTTACATAACTTACATAATGAGACAACTTACCGCCAGTGTGGAATGTGCAGGGGCACCATCTTGCTGGAATCACTGACTGTTTAAGTCATCCGGAGGAATATGTCTCTGCAATTGGAGCAAGTCGTTTTGCAAAAATTGCAAATACCCATTACCAGTTAAGTTTCCTTCAAGAAAATGTGGTCCAATGACATATTCTCTGCATATTCCCGCCCAAACGTTAACTTTAAAGCGGTGTTGATGATCGTCTTGTCCTATTAATCTGGGATTATGATCGGCGTAATGGTGATAATTATGTCGACTCTCTCGACCAGTATAGGCAAAGGATGACTCGTCAGTAAATAACACCTTGGAAAAAAAATTTCATCTTGTTGTAGCTTTATAGTTGCCCACTCACAAAACTGTACTCGCTTCTGAAAATCTTGCTGTGTTAAGAATTGGTGATGCTCAGAATGATAGGGGTGGAAGTTGTTTTTCTTTAACGTTCTATTAACCACACTTTTGGAAATACTAATTTCATCACTAATTTATCTGACACTTGTAGATGGATTTTGGACTGCACATTCCAAAATGTCAATTTGACTATCCTGATTACCACATGCATGTGTTCTTGTTTTCTCATAATATCCATTTGCCGTTCTTTCAAACCTCTCCTTAAGTTTTACAAAACACTTTGTACGATGATATCTTTGTAAATCTGGATTATTAGTTTGGTAAATACGACTTGCCAATAAACCATTAGTTTTACTAATTATTCTATTATTTATTTACTAATTCTTCTTTAGAGTAATCAATTTCACAATTATTACTGTCGCTTTTCTATTAAACCTTATGTGAATCAAAATTTTCCAGATTATCATTTAACAGGAGCCTACTATGTTATTTTACATATAAATTATTTGTAAACTTCTCATTTTTTCATATAAATGAGATTTCATGAAAAACTAAAGAATTTTGGTATAGGAGCAGGTATAGCAAAGCTGTAGAGAATTTAATTCTGCATCTCATGGTATGAAAATATATAGGGCGTTGCATTTAAAAAAAATCGAGATTTTTCAATTTTTCAATTGGCAATTTTGACATGATATTTTGGCCACCCTGTATAACGCAGGCCAGATTTTGGAGCATGATTCGAAAGAGTAATCCTTACTAAACATCTGATAAAAAAAATGGGCTTAGTAGCTATTAGTATAATCTGTCAGTATCAGAAAATGTAAGCAACCAATATCGACTAGAAAAACCTTTCAAGCGAGATATCTCAAAAACTGTGAATATTTGAATAGAACTATTCTACACAAAGTACCCTTTATTTTTTATGTAGAATCCGAAAAGAATATAAAAATGTGTGTTTCCATTTAAAAAACCAAAGTTGGTGTCTGTCCAGGAAAAGTGGAATAGTTGAAATATATTTTTAATTTGTACATTCCGAGAAATGTGACAACACAATAAAAAGAAAAATCCATATATTCCTCATTTTAACATAGATATTGGACTTTCGCGCACTAGTGGGACACGCTGTATATCAAGATATTACATGATTACTTATATTTTGGAATGAAAATTTTGAATCTAAATATTCAGTCTCTGGAACCAAAATTACACAAGTAAGGAACTTTGTCCAAAATTACGCATATGATATAGTTAACTGGTTAACTCCTACTGTGTATTACCTGTATTATAGAATAGCATTTAGGCATAATGTACATATATGAGACACTAGATATAATATGAAGCTTCATCCCCCTCACAACACACAACATATATTCAAAAGATCTTTTAGTTATTGTATCTACAAAATTTATAATTCAATTCCAGACAATATTAAAAATATGGACAAACTACCTTTTAAGAAGCATCTAAAAAAAATTAATATTGTCAGGTGAATTTAAAAGTACTAACTAATAGGCTGATCTACTATATTTAATCTATTACATATTAGTAAATACTGTTTACTAAGTAAATAAATATAATTACAAAATAAATTTAACCCTCGAGGGAGAGGGTACCAATGGCTAAGTGTAAGAGTGGAAGCTTGCATTCTTAATGCAGGTGACCAAACTTCGCCATTTAATAATAATTCATCTAAGTATTAAATTTTATAATTGTCAGAATTACACTGATGTGCCGTACTGAATTATTATGAATTATTATTAATAAAGACGTTTATTATTATNTTTCTTGTGCTCACTTTATGTCATACGCATATAAGAGCTTTGTTGAATTTATTAACATTTTCGCCCATGATATTAAATACAAAAAAATAATTGCTAATACAGATCTTCCGAAATCTCAACTCATAGCTGGATTGCCTCCCGTATGGAACTCCAGTACCTTACTTATTATTATTGTTGTTATTATTGTTGTTGTTATTATTATTATAACCTCTTCAAGAAATCTCAACTCATAGCTGGATTGCCTCTCGTATGGGACTCCAGTACCTTACTTATTATTATTATGACTATTATTATTGTTATTATTATTGTTGTTATTATTGTTGTTATTATTATTATTATTATTATTATTATTATTATTATTATTATTATTATTATTTTTCAGGGGTACTGGAGGAACCCATCAATCTGGAAGACAATGAGGCCACACGCAAGGCGAAAACTTTTTACAACACCTGTATGGACCTCCGTAAGTAATCACATTTGTTATTAGCAACCTACTTTCGGATATAGGTGAATTAGCCTAAATCTGCCTATTTTGAATCCACGAATCTGTGGCGTTCCGTTGTACACGTTATTCTGGGACATAGGAGATATAGAGAAGGTGATCTTAAGAAAATTTCAGATTACCGACCTATTTCGTTATTGTCTATTTTTTCTAAAATCATTGAAAAATTACTGTCGCATAAAATAATAAGAGTTTCTGGAACAAAATTAAGTGTTCCATTCAAGTACAACAACCTTTTTAAGTTTCCTGAATTATGTTTATGAACAGTTAAATTTTCAATGTAAATCTCATATGTTCATTTTGACTTGTCTTATACCATTTTATATGATCTTTTGGAATAATAAATGTTTACTTACTATTTGCATACCCTTAGGACCACTGGTTTAGATGACCCAGTATATTTTACTTATATCACAGAATTAGATAGCTGTGATAAAAATGGTATTTGTTTAATGTTTCCAGCATTTGTGGTGACTAGTAAAAAAGAACGTAAGTATGGACCCACAAAAAGTTTTCCCTTGAGAAAGGGCAGTTTTCCGTGCTGCTGGGTTTGTACGCGTCGTCTTTTATGTTCGGTAGCCGCGCAAAAACATGTTCGTGATCTAGACGAATAACCCATTTCGTTTCCTTTTTTATTGTTTCCTTCTTGCCTGACACATAAAATATATTGGAGAAAGCAATCGACGTGACGTAATCTTATTTTGTAGACCATACACATAATTTTGCTGTAAAAAGCATTTGATTTATAAATGTCAGATCATCACGAACGTGTTAATGAAATCTTAAAACCGTGGTAAAAATTTCATAAATTGTTCTTCCTTCTATAAATAAATGTGTGGGCATATATATTTAAAAAATACAGGATGCTGAAATTTAATAAAAAATATTAATAGCTAATAGCTATATTAATTAAGAGCATGTTTATTTCATTCATACGAATTATAGTAACTGGTTTTTCCGAAATATTAAAAATAAAATTTGAGAAAATTTATTTTTATTAATTAAAATCACACAATGTGTCATGTAAAGCGGTTATTATAAACATACACATACATAATATAATTCTTTGAATTAACACTAGCATGAACAATACAATTATTGTAGGTATTCAGTTCAATATTTCATCATTTACTTTAAAAACAGTACATTCTAATAACCAACCAGCAGCAACAAGCAATCAACAGCAAAAGTTCGTAGTCAAATTTGTCATACTTTGAAAGAAAAAAAAATGGAAACAAGAAATAAATCTACCGGAACCCGGAACTTTGTTCTTAAATGAAACATTCTCTATAGCATACAATTATGTTTAAAGAAAGGGATGTTTAGACTGAATATCTATATTGATTCAAATATGTACGTCATGGCAACAAGTCGAACTTTAAATTACTTAGTTGTAATGGGGTAATTTAGAGTCTTAACCAATTAGCTACGTTTCTTGATGAAAACATTCACCTAATTTTTCACTGTAATCACCTAAATTTCAGAAAATAGGCCAGTTGAGAATCTAGAAAATATAACTGTATAATCACCAAGCAACTAAACATCCAAATTTCTCCTCTATACTCGCAACACTACTTTTATTATCCAGATATCCATAGTTGCTTAGGAAGCTTTTCGAAACACCCCATGTTTTCTGCTACCTCTTTAGATGCACCAATATTTCGCCCTGAACCCAGGTAGTTTTCACAATTTAGGGGTGGTTTTAAGAAAGCTGGGGGTCGATGAAATAATTATGAGTACAAAACTGAATTCAGCACCTCAAAATACATAAGGGTATAGTTTCCTAATCGCCTCTAATCGTTTTCCACGATTACACCCTATTAGCATCACATATTGGAATTTGCACAATTTAGGGGTGATTTTCTCAAAATTGGTGAAGCAATTTTGACTTCGGATTCGAGTTCAGCACGTCAATATACCTACATAGAACTCAGAAGGTTTGGTCCGAATGCAAGGTCACTTTTTCTATGTGCCATATATAATATACATATAGGAATTTGCACTCTTTAGGGATGATGATCTCAAAATTGGTGTGTGATGGAACAATCCCGACATCGGATTCAAGTTCAGCATGCCAAAATACATATGAGTCAGTTCCTAGTGTCTCTAGTCACCGCTGTCGCTCTTCCTCAATTGATGACGAGATTGTCTAACCTTGGGATCCACGTTAATTTTTTTCCTAAAGAAGCACTTATACTGCGATATGATTTAGTTGCAGTTTTTTGTGTTTATGCGGTTTTTAAATCAACCTCTGCATTTGAACTATTCACTTTTTTATGGGTGCATAGCCGAATATAGTACTCTTGAGTCTTTATAATCGCTGTTTATGATGTGTTGGGCTAGAGCGTTTATGTTTATGAATGTATAACCCCTTAGAGCGCCTGTGTAAAAGCTTTACGAGCTTGTATAGAAGCTTTAGAGCTTGAATTGATTTTGCCTCCTTGGAGGGCTTGTGTGTAGAAGCTTTAGAGTTTGATTATGGCAGCTTTAGGGATTGGTATCCATTAGGAACTTCACCTGAGGGTGGACAAAGCCTGGGTGGGATGTACTACATGAGGAATAGGAGAAACATAACTCAAATTTAACTTCTGTAAAAGTTTATCGCAATTTTTATAATAATTTATCAACAATAAATGTAAGCATATGATACTTATATTTAAAGCAAAACAAAAAAATTGGAGCCAACAACATGTACCGGCCAGAATTCGACACTGGTTATTGAGTCGCATGGTCTTCGAGCTGACGTCCGATCACTCTCGATGCTGACCCGCGGGGATTCTGTTGTGAGGTCCGTGAAGTTTCATTCCTCTGTGGGTGTCTCTAAAGGGTTGTGATGCTAAAAATAATTTTAGTTAATTCTGACCCTCGAATGTGTCCGATTTATTTAATGTCGCCGAAATTCGAAAGACGGATAAAGAATTTCGTTCCTTCCTGCGCTGTTGGTGATTTCTGGGCATGATGATCATACGTGGTCAATGCCGTCTGGTACCGCTGCTGACTTTTGGCGGCAATCATGACTTCACAGCGACGTGGCGGGAGATCATCAAAACATGCGTGAAAATTTTGGCTCCTTCCTGCGCGGTCGCTGGCGGTGTAGCGTTTCGTATGAGCATAGTCTGTTGGATCTAAGGGCATTTTGGCAGCAGTTATAGCAAATGTATTTTCTCGTCCTTCGCCTTCCGATCTGCGTAATGGATCGCCTGCAATGGTTTGTCTATTCCGATTGAATTATCGAGAACTGCGCCTCGTATGGAGCTTTTTGAAAGATTAATGAAGTCTTTTCGAAACATGGGTGAACTTCTGCATACTACTATATCTTGATAAAAACTTTTATATTGAAAGGCTTCATTTTACTGATAAGAAACAAGTAAGATGTACTTACACCTTACACTTTACATTTAATAAAGTGTAAATTTCTCAAAAATGGAAATAAAAAGTTTAAACATTGCTTCAAATATATTTTATTAAAATATTATTTTTTAAAAATAAGAAAGTTATAACGAAAAATCGATTTTCAACTCACAACTTCAGTAACTGATAACTCTACAGAATGAACTTGTAGAAAATATTTTTATATAAATTGTGATATTACTTTTGTCAAAATCGAGATATTGCTTATTACTTCTTCAACACTCTGTATAAAAAATTAAGTTTTTTTTCAAGAAATGTATCTTGATAAACATTTGCATAGGGAGCATTACCTCTTATTTTGGTGAAAGGCTCATGTCCTTTAAAACAAATTTTATTTTAATATACCATTAAATTGCCTATGAATTTATTTTGTTGCGATAACAGCGATATGATGGACGTATATTTTTCAGATAACATTCGAAAAATAGGAGATGAACCCATTCGAGAGGTCCTCAACAATTTGGGAGGATGGCCTGTTACGCAGCCGAATTGGACTGCACCAGCATTTTCCACAGAAGTGCTACTAGGACAAATACGAGGTCAATATAACGAGGGATTTCTGATCGAACAATGGGTAGGACCTGATGATAAAAACAGCTCCGTGAACATCATTCAGGTGCGCCTAAAGTAAGAAGTAGTATAGGCAACAAATACAATTTATCAATTGTAGTAAAAACAATCATTATTGATATTATTTCATAATGTATTTCTAATTTGAGACGACTTATTAAGTCTGGAGTTTAAAGTTCAAAAGTAATATTTGAATTTAGCGTAGGTGTCTCAATTAATCTAAACTTTCAAACTTGCAATTTCCCTATTCGTTTTCACTTTTAGCTTTTTCAGAGACTAACCATTCTTTCATATATAGGAGGCTATTACATATTGTTGGGATCAGAATAAAAAAAATTAACTTACTTCATTTTGCTATGCTGATTTAAATAAAATTTGGTATGTGGGTACCTGTGTATAAAAGTTACTCTTTGACATAGCAACCAAAGTAATGGCATTCACAAGAATGGGAAAATAACCCTACCAGTAAATATGCTCATTTTTTGTGCAGATGACTTTACAACTTCAATTCTTGTTTTGTCGTAGAGATAAGCGTTTTTTTCTTCTTATTAATTTTTTATATTCCTGTTGTGTGTGAGTGATAATTATTTTATTAGGCACCATAAGTCAAAAAATATCATTTCAGGTAATTATATTAATTATTAGTACAATCAACAGAGCCTTCACAAATTATTACAGTCCATGTGACCAGTAATTTTGTTTGGAACAAGAATTCCATCTCCGTCACGTTGCCAATTAAATTTGGATAAAATTGTAAATTAGTCAAACAACACAATATTACATTAAAACACAATATACTGTTTCACCGGCTGATGATTGGTGTAATATTTCACGAGATTATATTCAACCAATTAGCGATCGCATTATCTCGAGCGTAGATGTAACGGTTTGTCATTGTTCATTGTAAACGGATCATTAATATTGGTAACGTTAAGATTTAGTGATTTTTAGTTGACGGTACCAGCCGTGTAATGTTGGTAGCATAAGCTCGGCGGTCACGTGGCTTATAAACATTTATGAAGGCTCTGTATGTGAAAGAGCATAACTCGAATTTTAGTTTCACAACGTCTCTAAGACGTAAACTTTTTATTGCGTTAAACATGTTATATATTATTATATTAAAGTCTTTACTATTCAATATTTAGAACTAAACATCTGACTAATAAAAGGTTTAAGATTGAGAGTGGAACAAAAGATTTTTGTTATGTTTTCCATGTTTTCAAAAATTTCTTTTATTGTAGGAAAACTTTGACTATCATCATCTCAGTTCATTGTTTTTTTTGTGTTACGGTAGTTTTATACTGAAGGTGCGATATATTTTTATCATATGGTACACATTTTCTTTCGATTTATTATCGCTTGTATCGAAAACGTTGGAGAAGACACAGTCCCGCAAAATCTTAAACCAAAATACGGCGTTGGAATTATTCCCCACGTCAGGTTTGTGATATCCTTACCTAGAACTGGAAAAAACAGCGCTTTTAGCTACATTTGAAATTATGTTACATCATAAGATAATTTTCCCTAACATATTATTAACTCGTTATGGCATCTGAAGCACTTTATTATTTCCCTTCGAAATCCATTTTGAGTCGTTGAAATATTTCGTTTCTTCTCCGAGAACTCATTGAAATTGGTTAATTCAGCGCATTCGATATTTGGAAATCGAGTAGCATCAAATGAAGACTCAAAGAGAGAGAAGAATCAAATTAGAAACGTTTAAATTGAAACTGGTTCTTCATGTTTTCGGTTTTCCTTTCATTACTTTCTTTATTCCATCCTCCATATTTGATCCATCACTTTCAATGTTCTAATTCTGACTGCAGATTTGTAATCAACAACCCCAAAAACCTGAAGAACCAGCGGGAATTTAGGTGTTTATAATTTGATTCTTTTCTCTTTTTAAATCTTTGAAGAATAACAGTAGTACTTTCAGATGTCATAACAAGTTTTGTGGTGAAAAATTACCACGCGATATAACATAACCTCAAATATAGCTAAAACTCGTGTTTTCCGAACTTTTAGGTTAATACCTATAAAACTTAAAGTAGTGGAGTAATTCTGAGGTCGGATTCGTATTGAACGCATTGAAAACTTTGTCGGTGAAGTATAGTCTGGTTTCTGGCTTGAAGGTCAGTGACATTTTGTAGGAATGTGTGGTTAATAAATAACCAACTCCTTGAAAACAGAAAACAAGAAATCAAGAGAGAAAAAACTTGGGAAAGCTTTCATCTTTATAACAATATAGGAAGAGAAGTAGACAAAAAGATGAGCATGTCTGTCTAGGCGTAGGGGCATTTTTCTGATTTATGTGAATGCAATTACTTTGGTTAATATACAGTATAAATTAGTAGGTCAAGCAGTTAACTACATATTCTTTGAACTAATATAATGGGACTTGTCTTATGCCACTTTTCACTTCGGAGCCCCCTTTTCAAAATAGAGGGTGTCAAAATTATTTAAAAAATGATTTTTATTGATAATACATACATATTTTGATTTGGGGCTTGCTGTACGATATTTGCAACTTTTTTAGATATATTAGATTTAGCTCGAATTAAATATCGCTGATTATGCTGATAAAATCATTTCTATTTTATTCAGCAAATTGAAATAAATATAATAAGACGACTCAAATCTTTCAAATAGCTTCAAAAAATAAAATCTATCGTCGACTAAATGACGCGTATTCAAAAAAGTTACAATATATTTATTACAATGGTTACAAGTTACAATTACAATATAATAAAACGCCGCTTTATCTAAAAAAATATTCAGAAAGCAAAGGCATACTTAAAAAAAAATGTATTATTTCCCAAGGGTACTGCAACCCGCCACCCCTTCGTTCGCGCTTTGATATTTTAAATCAAAATTACACAAAAAATGTGCCGACATAAGATCAAAATATGTGCTAAATTTCAAATAAATATCTCTACAATCACCGGAGATAACAATAAAAATCATTTTTTAAATTTTGACACCCTGTATTTTGAAAATAGGGTTCCGAAATAAAAAAATAAGAAACGTCCCATTATTCTATTCCAAAAAATATGTGGTTAACGGGTTAACGTACTATTTTGTAACACCCTGTATAAAAAACTGGCATACAAGAAGTAGCTTACCCAATTTTATTGAAATTCTGCATAGAGTCTTGGAATTATTTAGAAAAACCTGAAAATTCTGTAATTCTTCATTTAGAATTGAAACGAAAAATAAAATATGTTACCACTACACGGGGTTTGATGTTAATATAATTACTTATATAATTGTAATGATGACAATACATTNGGGCATTTTTCTGATTTATGTGAATGCAATTACTTTGGTTAATATACAGTATAAATTAGTAGGTCAAGCAGTTAACTACATATTCTTTGAACTAAAATAATGGGACTTTTCTTATGCCACTTTTCATTTCGGATCCTCTTTTTCAAAATACAGGGTCTCAAAATTAAAATGTAAAAAATGATTTTTCTTGATAACTCCGGTGATTGTAAAGAGATATTTATTTGAAATTTAGCATATATTTTGATCTTATGTCGGCACACTTTTTGTGTAATTTTGGTTTAAAATATCAAAGTGCGAACGGTGGGGAAAATGGTTGCAGTTCAAATGGACCCCCTATTTTTTTTGAGTACGTCTATGTTTTCCGAATTTTTTTTATTTAAAGTGGCGTTTTATTCTATTTTTTTTCACTCTTGTAAGATTTTTATTTGGGGAATCGTTTACAAGATATTGTACCTTTTTTGGATATGCGACATCAATTTAGTCGACGTTAGACTTTAATTTTTGGGATTTTATGGAAAATTTCTTTTATGTGGTACCAATACTAACTAAACAACAATTAAAAAAACGAATTACATGAAGTAAAGAGCACTTTAGGCTGAAACCACATATTTTGATTTGGTGTTTGCTGTACGAGATTTGCAACTTTTTTAGATATGTTAGGTTTAGATCAAATTAAATATCGCTGATCATGATGATGATCATTTCCATTTTATTCAGTAAAATGAAATAAATAAGACGACTCAAATCTTTCATATCGCCCCAAAAAAAAAAAAATATTGGGAAAGTAAAGGCGCACTCAAAAAAAAATAAGAGGGTTCATGGGTACTGCAACCCGCCACCCCTCCGTTCGCGCTTTAGTATTTTAAACCAAAATTACACAAATAGTGTGCCGACATATGTGCTAAATTTCAAATAAATAAATCTATAATCACTGGAGTTATCAATAAAAATAATTTTTAAATTTTAATTTTGACAACCTGTATTTTGAAAATAGGGCTCAGAAATAAAAAAATAAGAAAAGCCCCATTATTTTGGTCCAAAGAATATGTAGTTAACGGGTTAACATACTATTTTGTAACACCTTATATAAAAAACTGGCATTAATACACAAGTAGTATCTTATCATATTTTATTGAAATTCTGCATAGCGTTTTGGAATTATTAAGAAAAACCTGAAAATTCTGTAATTCTTCATTTAGAATTGAAACGAAAAATAAAATATGTTTACTACCACTACAAGAGGTCTGATGTTAATATAATTACTTATATAACTGTAATGATGACGATACATTCATTAACGGCTTGTGGTTTCTATTATAGAAGTATATTTTTTCAGTAGTAAAGAATTTTACATAGTACAACAACCATTACATCCTATCCTCGATGCTTTAACTATGTTTCAAAATTTCAGATGGATCAAATGGCTTTAGCGTTACCCAGTAGGGACTACTACTTAAAGGCAAGTAGTGAAGGTGATATGGTCGCTTACCACAAATACATGACCAATATTGCTATTCTTCTTGGGGCGAACAAGACCACTGCTAGTGAAGAGTTACAGCATGTTGTAGAATTCGAAAGAAGACTGGCAAACGTACGTATAGTAGTTAATAGTTATATACGTACCAGTAGTATCAGTAAGTGGTACTTTACAAGGCGAGCATGTAAGTTTCATTAAAAGCATGAGAGCCCTGTGAATACACTTATATGGCGCGTACAATATTTTTTCTGCTACAGCCAATAATTTGACCTTAATAGAACTACTCAACTACAGCAGTTTACTGGTCATACATTTATATTAAAAATGTAACTTGTGTGTTAATATTTATGTTGTAAGTGCGGGTATGCAAAGTACAATTATTAAATGTTGATGTTACGCTCAGTTTAGGATTCATATTTGTGTAATCTACAATATTAGATTCGTTTCTGCAAGTATCAAATTGGTTTTGTTTATTTTCTACAATCATTAAGATTTTAAGATTTTATTTGCTATGTTTACTTTATTCTGAAATAGTAGATACAACCGTCTGTCACGGTAGAAGATTTTGATCCCAAGTGATGCCTTAAACTTGTGAAACTTCCACCTCCATTAATCTGTGTAAGTGGCTGAAGTCCTGTGGTAAAAGTCACTGGCAAGTTCTATTGGGTAGGGTAATTTTAGATATATAACTGTTTTGCAAGAAATATTTCCTACTGAATGCATTGTAATAGGTTGCTTAGGACATTAATTGCTTTTAATAAAACACCGTCAAAAAATTTGAATAAACTTTCCTACAAAATCATTACAATTTTCTTTTTAACGACCAACACCCAATTGTGTTGAAATAATAACACAATTGGTTGAGTAATGTTCACCAACTATTTATTAGCCAAATAAATNTGGTCATACATTTATATTAAAAATGTAACTTGTGTGTTAATATTTATGTTGTAAGTGCGGGTATGCAAAGTACAATTATTAAATGTTGATGTTACGCTCAGTTTAGGATTCATATTTGTGTAATCTACAATATTAGATTCGTTTCTGCAAGTATCAAATTGGTTTTGTTTATTTTCTACAATCATTAAGATTTTAAGATTTTATTTGCTATGTTTACTTTATTCTGAAATAGTAGATACAACCGTCTGTCACGGTAGAAGATTTTGATCCCAAGTGATGCCTTAAACTTGTGAAACTTCCACCTCCATTAATCTGTGTAAGTGGCTGAAGTCCTGTGGTAAAAGTCACTGGCAAGTTCTATTGGGTAGGGTAATTTTAGATATATAACTGTTTTGCAAGAAATATTTCCTACTGAATGCATTGTAATAGGTTGCTTAGGACATTAATTGCTTTTAATAAAACACCGTCAAAAAATTTGAATAAACTTTCCTACAAGATCATTACAATTTTCTTTTTAACGACCAACACCCAATTGTATTGAAATAATAACACAATTGGTTGAGTAATGTTCACCAACTATTTATTAGCCAAATAAATCTTATATTTATAACATTGAACAACTTTTTAGTTAGCTTGCTAAACTATTTGTGTATGGTATGCTACATCTAATAGTAAAATCAATTCTAAATTACCACTAAGTAAACGTATGTGTTATCTGACAGAGTTCAAATTGCGCGTCGATATATTTTTTTACACAACTTTGCGTTCCCCTTATTCAGAAATGCATATGGTACAACGAAGGAGTGATTTTCACACAGTTTGTTCCCGTTCTTACATATCTTAGTCTAACTATTCAATTCAACAATTCTTTTAACTAAGAATTGTGTTGATAAGCTTATTTCTTTGTTAAAATCCTAAGTTCACTCAAAATTCACACCAAAATAATTTCACTCATTAATAACCTTCATTTTACAATGTTATTTTTTACTTCTTTATCAAATAAAATGTTTTCTTGGTCACTTTCTTCTTAAACAACAAACATTTTCTAAAACGCCAGTACAAAAAACATTTCTCAGAATAAACGTATAGTTAATTTAGAAGGGAAGGAAATTTTTGGGGCAAATATAATTTATAATTATAATTTATAAAGTTTTATAAAGAATTGGATTGGTTCTAAAGTTCATCGTTTCTAAGATATAAACTTTTATTTTTTTTGCCTGACTTGAAAAAATATTAAGCCAGTTTAAATCAAGTTTAACAATGTTCATAAATTATCTCTTGATTTTATCAAATAAGCTCTTTGACAACAATATCTAGGTATACTACACAAAAAAAGCTATATTAATATCAAGAATAGATGTTTTTTATTTAGACTATATGAATTCCTTGTCTTAATAATTTTTTATTCTTAACATAAAGTTATGCTTGTCTTTGTTTGAACTTTTAGGTGATTTAAAGCAAATCTTTTAAATATATAATTAAATAAATAGTATATTGCATTAACAGAAAATAGAAACTGAAATATACATATTATTTAAATAGTATCAATGATTCTTATAAATATATTGCGTGTTTTATTTAGATAGATTTAATTAATTTTTAGTGCATATTAATTTTAGACTGTTTACGTACGAAAAATGTTACTACTGTTTCTATATATATATATACAGGGTGTCTCACACTTAAATAGCAGGACTTCAGGAATCAGTAGAAGACCTCATTTTGAGTCTAAAAGTTCCTATATATATGGGTCCTAAAACGCTTAGTTTCTGAGATACAGGGCGTTCAATTTTATTTTTGTTTTATTTATTTATTTTTTAACTAAATAACCGCTGACAAAAAAAATCATCATGTTGCGNGCCCTAACCACCATTCAGTGCAGGAATGAGGGAAACCTGGAAAACCTCATTAATTAGGGGGGTGGTCAAATGCCAACCGGTGTCAATCTCTCACATTGACCCAAGCCAACATTCTTCCACCCTACCATACCTGCACAGAGGGTGCCAATCCTCCGTACAAGCATAGCTAATCTACGGTCTACCCGCCGCGGGATTCGAAACCCAGGCAGATAGCACACATCGATTCAAGTACTTACGCCTTAAACCATGCGGCTATCGACCGACTTATAATAATTAATGTTGTTATATGGAACAACTACTCTGCGGTATAAAGTATTACATTTCGGAGCTGAGTTCATAATAATATACACCTTCTTTTTATTTTATAGTAAAAATTAAAGTTTCTCAAGAAAAATTAACAATTTTAACACAAGAGAAGGAAAATTTAAAAAAATTGTAATAAAAGTTATTGGCATACAAAAGAAAAATTAAGGGATGTGAAGCAAGTATATTCCTTAAAAAACAAAATCCTGAAACACAATATTACTGCCAGAACTTTTTTTTCTGACATTTTTGAAACGTTGAGAAAAGCTATTTCGGCAATTTTTAAACTCTCGGCTATCAAATCAAGTAATTATAATAAAAATTAAGTCCAGTTGTGATTTTTTAAGCTAGATTCAAAGTGTTTCAAAACATGTCTACATAACTTGATGAGCATCTAGTCTAGACTCATTCATGATTTGTTGACATTTTAAGTAATCTCGTAGAGTACTGTTGAAGTGCAATGCGTTTGTATAAATGGTTGAAGATCTTTAGATTAACGGATAGAGAGAAAATAATAAACTCACCCGAAAGTTATGTTTTAAAATTGAAATTCCTTTATTAAATACATTAATTTTACTAACTTCAGGACTTACAGTAACTTGAGCTCATCATGGATTAATAGAAAATAATTATACCCAAGGATTACATGGATTAATTTTAATTAGGAATAATTTGACCCCCTAAAGGGATCCAAACCCTTAACCCAAATGAAATTCCTTTATTAAATTTGCGTTGAAAATCTGTTTCCCTTAGATATCTAGTTTGAGCTTCCTTGAAATCAATAGCAGTAATGTTATTGTATTAAAATACATTCTTATTATAAAACCCGGAGCCAAGCTCTCATAAAATTTTATGTAATACTTTACATTTCTGAATTGCTTCTGACTGTGCTATAAATGTCTCCAGGAAGTAAAACTTTACGGCAAATGTACGGTCTACGGAAGCAATTTTTTCTCTTTTAAACGTCGTATTATTTCTCAGACTTCTATAATAAAAATTAATCATAACAGCAAACCACAAACCATACCTAGCATGAGACTAACGCAACTGCAATAGCAAACATATATTTCTTTGCAATAAAATAAGAGTCAACATTACAAAAAAAAACTATTAAAATCCACTAAAATTTACCAAAATTGGTTAATAAATTAATAGTCTCCAATTTTTTTCGCCAAACTACTGATATTACAAAATTTACCGCAGTGTATGTATATTTGATCAATCTATTGGGTCAAAAAATTGGTCAATATAAAATATTGATAGATACAAATATTAAGTTGCAAACTCTCAAGTTGTAGTGAAAGAATTAAACGCATGCACAATAGGGAACTGGACTATGCATTGTTGTCAAATCTCATCATTTAAAGAAAAAGCAAATTTCCATATCACCCGCCGTGGGCAAAAAAAATGGTAACACATAACTACTTGTAAAAACTTTAAACGGTTTTAAAGAAATATTTGTATTTATTTTTTATATCGTTTGTTTTTTAAAACAGCAAATATAATTATTTTAAAACATAAATTAGTTTTAATTGCAATTACTAATATATATACATACCAAAATTTTTTATTTTTTAAAACAATTTCTTTAATGTTCGACATTTTGCCCACACTGAAATCAAAAAAATATGGTGACTTTAAAATGTCACGCCATCTGTGTTCACAAAATTTTCCATTAGTTTCACTGTCTAACAGTTAATTAAAAAAATATACAGGGTGTAAGAAGTTTGACTGCCATTACTTCAACATGAGATGGAGTAATCATAAATGAACAAAAAAGTTGTATATTACAGGGGCGTAAGATTAACAGTTTTCAAAATATTAATATTGGGGAGTTTCATCACATGACAACAGCGCTTAACCTGCCGATGCACACCACGTGTGCACGCGGCAGACTTGTCCTATGGAAAAAATGTAAACAACTATTATTATGAAACATTTAGTTTTCAAAACAATTGCTTTCCAGTTTTTAAATAAATAAAATAAAATGTATAGATTTTGTACTACGGATATACTGTTGTGCTTAAATTTTAGCTCGAATTTTAGTAATTA